GAGAGGACCCACTTACAGAGAGCAGATATTCCAGCAGGTATCCAGTCCTGTCTATGGTGCGAAGGAAGTCCTCGTAAAACCTCATTTTTGCTCTCCTTTCTCTGATAACCAGAACGCCAATGTTCTTGAAAACCAAATCCGCATCCTTCCCGTCTGCCAAGACCCGAGAGAAGATGCGCAGGGTCTCTCGGATACAGGCTTCCACTTTGTGCTGYGGGTAGCGGGTCTCCAAGCTTATCAGAGTAGGGTTGAGAGGAACCGTTTGGAAAAGATCTGGAAAAGAGCAGAAGGTGCTTGAAGGGAGAACAGGGAGCGTTCCCTGTGCAAGGTGGAGCGCCCTAGAGAGCACCACTTCCCTCTCCATTCACCRCCAGTTCTAAAGCTGTTCCAAGACAGGCAGGGCAACTTTGGGGCTCGCAGACAGAGTGAAAATTCTACGCACAGGGAAAGGCAAAGCAAAGGCCTCAATGCGACTGCTTACCAGAGATGTCCTCRCAGACRGGTCTGAGCCCTAATGGTCGAGCATAAGAGGCTGAGAGGACAAAGACAGGCTGCTGAACAGTCAGAGGGTCACGGTCTTTCATACAGATGTCCTGGTTAAGCAGGTAGAACGTCCCGATTTCCATTCGTACCGCCTGAGGACAGAMGAGAAGGGCAGGGAGAAAAGAGATTTGTTGCCTGAGGGCTTCTCAGCATGTGGCCATGATGCTTGGTGCCTTGTCCACCCCAGGGGTGCCAAGAGGCTCCCTTGGAGCTTCTCGGGGCGTCTAGCAACAGGGGCAGACCCTGGACACAGGGCTCTCAGCAGTAGCCGCAGCATCACAATTGGAGGGCACAAAGCGCATACCTTGTCCAGAATAAGTTCACGGAAAATGTAATTCGACACACCACCCCAGACAGCAACGATATCTGCAAAGCAAACGAGAGACGGATGCACTCTAAGTCCGCAAGCTCACAATGCTCCTGGTCTCTCCCGAGCCAGGAGACAAGAGAGGCAAGTGCCCTCAGGCAGCCTCGCAGCCTGCCGTGCCCTTGCAAATGGCAGAAGCACAGGAGACAAGGGCTCCTGAGCCTCGAGTCAGCCTTTCAGGCAGGCTCCCGAGAGTCCGTCCAGAGCTGAAACTCATCCAGCCTTCTGGCAAGGAGACACCTTGCCCTCTGGGGCAGCTCTCCTCGCGGGCAGCCAGCCAGCATGAGCCAGGCCTAGGAAACTGGCCCATGGGCTTCCAGCCCCGCACCACATGCGGCGATGCCCACAGGGCTCTCAGAGGTCCAGCAAACACCCAGCTTTGTCCTGGCAGCGGCCAGTTTGCCCACATTTCACCCCTACTCGTGCACACTGGCCACTCCCGACGGGACAGCTCCAGTCCCTCTCCCAGCAGGGAGCTCGGGCTGTCCGGGACCTCCTKCAAGGCAGCAGAACGTGCAGAGCAGGCTGCCATCTAGACTCTCACGCCAGGCAGGGACAACATCTCCCCGCACTCTCTCTGAGGCTCCCAGTCCTGCCCAGACCTCCCCACATRCGCCAGCGTCATCGTAGCGATTCTTACACTCRCTCCGCTCYCCAAACACACCCAGGAAAGGGCTCCCGAAAGCCTTACCATCGGTGGTGAGATCGCGGAGCATCGGGAACGTGTGAGGCTCCATGCCTTYCACCTGTCCGCACGCTCCCTCCAGGTGAAGRGTGGCTGAAGAAGGCCCAAAGGGAACTTGGTCCTCTCCAGCGCCTCTCACCTTCTCCACTTCACCAACGGCCRCTCCCCTGCTAGCCCTCTGCCTCCCTTTGCCTTCCCCAGCTCTCAGGAAAGCAGCTCCTGAGGAGGAGGAGGAAAGCAGCGCCGAGAGCAGCAGCTAGCAAGCGCGATCCTGCAGGCCTCGCAGTGAAGTGCGCGCCGGGGCCAGGGGCACCGTGGCAACAGGGCCCTGGTGCCTGTGATGCGACAGGGCCCCACTGTGAGCCCACACCTTGTCACACACACACACACGTGACACAGCGAGGTGCCCTGCTTCCTCTGCAAGAGCTCGCCTAAGATCCTGAAGGAA